TTTTACTGGATCCTTTCACTGGATCACCATATTGAACTTGGCTCTGGGCTTAAAGAAATGTTCTAATAAAATAAATATATTACACATAGAAGAAGATCTGTGCTGGATTAAACTAGGGGTCCATCTAGTCCAGCTGCCCACAGGACTGCACAAGCAGGATCTGATTGCAGAGGTACCATCCCTTCCAAGTTCCCCAGCAACTGGTGTGCCTAGGCAGGTTACCTCTGGTACTGTTTTGCCCTTGTCCATGTTTGCTGGCCTTCTGGATTTTAATAAAAACAAAGATGTCGTAAGCCTGATGTCTGCATATTGTTATATTAAATGACTCATTCGCTTCAGCTGATGGGTCTGTTAAATGGTTTCTCAGCTGAGGTAATATTATAAAGATTATTAGCTTGGATGCAATTTCTGCTCTCATCCAGATCTCTGTTATATCTCACAGCCTCTGCTAATGTTTCCTTGAGCAAAGCTGTACTATGGTGAGTCAAGCCAGTGGCTCTTCTAGGCACATCCTTGAGTCAGGCTGGCTGAGGGTTTTTTGCAGCTTTGGGCAGAGACCCTCCTCAGCTCCACTGTCTGAGGGTCTGTCTGACCTGCAATAAAAATGAATAAAATGAGATGGAATAAAAATGAGACCTTGTACATAAAATCATTTGCACTGCCACCTGCAGCCTTCCAGATGTTTCATACTTCAGCTCCCATAAATCCTGACCATTGACCATGTTGTCTGCGGCTTATGGAAAGTTTAGCTTGAAAGCTGGGAAAGGCCGCAGGTCGCCTGCCCTTGCACTGTGGATGCTCCCGCTCTGTTTGCCAGTAGGGCGTAGTGCTGGTGGTGGGGAATCACTACTCTCTGTTAAGTTGATTGGGACTGCTGGTGTGTCGTCTGGCACCCTGGAGGAATAGGTGTGATCTATTAGCTGCTTACATTAGTGGCTCTTTAAGGGTTCTTATCAGCCTGCAGCTACATTCTTAAAAGCTCATGTGGTGACAAAGAGCTTGAAGGAACATGCTCAGTTCCAAGAGCTCCCTGAGATAAGGAGGCATTTAAAACTTTCCACGTGCACCATTCTGAATCTCTCATTGGACTACATAATAATCTCAAAAATGTTATCATCGACTCTGGCCAGTCTCCTTTAAAGATGGTGCCCTGAGGTGTGTGTGCGGAGCAATGACAAAGACAGCTGCACTTGGCCAGCACGCTATGGGGTTCAGTTGCAACTGGTTGAATGGGGATGGGTCAAGGGGTGCTTTTCAAGGCAACTGGCAGCCTTCCCAGGAGTGCTGCTTATGGGGAAGGCCCCATGCTTTCTGCCTGATCCTGGTTGCTGCCTCATTTACACTCAGCCCTCACCCACCATGTGGGATCATGTGAAAAGAAAGAATGCTAGAAAAGTGGTCTGCTGTTTGTTTTAAGGGGTGTCTCGAATTGGATTGTGTTGGTTTAGATGTACTGGGGCAGCCTGCTGTTGGGAAGGTCTGAAGCTCTAAGGAGCAGGGCATATGTGTGGGAACTGAGACTTAGTCCTCACTGGTCTGACTACAGGACTCATTTTAAAATCAGCTTCCCAGATTGAAATCCTAGGTGGGCTTGGCTGGAAAAGGATCCTAGAACCCGGAGAGATGTACATAGGATTGCAACTTTTACTGACTTTTCTCAGGTGGATCAGTAAGCAGTGATTGGATTCTACAGTTTTGATCCAATGATGTACCCATTGACTACTGTGGGAAATTGTTTTATCTGAAAGAGTAAGATGAATCATGCCGATAGGTTGAATAACTGGGTTTCAGGGATGTCTGGGGGTTCGGCTTACAAAAGCTCACACTAAAGCCAGAATGGGGGATGTTAGCAGAACATCAGAGCTTGGTCTTTTGATGACATGGGGATTTATTTGAGTATAATCGAGAGGTCTTCATGTTATGCCTGATAGAGCAAGCAGTATTGCAAAGCCAGTTTTATGAACAGGGGCTCTGAATGAACTGTATCTAGATGACATCCCTCTGCCTTCAAATTATCCATGTTTTGCTAAGCAAGAAGTGCATGAGACACGTTGAGGAACCGATATCAAAAGCAGAGAGAACCTGGATGCCAGAAGAACATAAGAGAAGGCATGCTGGATCAGACCAAAGGTCTACCTAGTCCAGCATTTTGCACACATGGTGGCAAACCAGCTGCCCACAGAATCTGCTTAAGCAAGATGGGTGCAAGGTCTCCACCTGCCCAAGCTCCTCAGCAAATGTGGGGAGACAGCAGGCAGCTCAGGGTACACAATCTGTAGCTCTTCAACCAACAGATGTGCCTTCTGGGGCCCTGCTTGTGTCCAGAAATGTGCCCGACTGCGAGCATCCCCCTTTTCCTCTCTTGAAGGTTGCAATGAAAGAAACAAAGCTCTCTGAGTCTGAGTCATGTAGAAAGTCAGATCACCAGTTTGCAAGCTTCTGCCCCTCCTGGGCGTGAGAGCTGAAGCGCCTCCCTTCTTGCGTGACCTGCTAACTTTTCAGGTCTCTATAAATAGGTGGAGCTCATCCATTGAGTTAAGCTAACCCCAGCGTGCCCCAGGACGCCAGCAGGCGTAAATGGTGCCACACAGAAACAGGACTGCTTAAACATTCCTGTGCCGAGGCAATGCTGTTGTGGTATTTTGACTGTTCGTTGTAATGTTTGTTCTGCAAGGACACTTAGCCACCCACAAGGCATGCAAATAGCTCAGGCTCTGACTCAGAGGGCAAGGAGGGCTTTGACTGAGGTCATGCTCTGAGTCTCCTGACTTTGACAGCTGTGGTCCACTGCCTCTCCTCTGGTTCCAAAGGAGAGCAGGGATGCATCTTAGGATTTCTATTTATTTCACTTGTTAACTTTATTTTTGCAGCCTGTTGGCATCCCAAGCTCAGTAGCAGCCAGTTCAGACTTTTCCAGGCACTGTTCTTTCTCAGTGGGGGCGATGCCATAGTCACCACCCTGCCAATGTCACACAGGAAGTATGGGAGATGACACTTTCGCCGCACTTCAGCCAGTTAATCAGACGCTTGGGATACGATTCTTGCCCCACCAAATGCAACCCTTGCTGATGCAATGCTGTGGTGAGGGTGGTTGCAATTGTGTCACAGGCATCATCTAACGGATGGCACCCCTCACACCATTGTGGGGTATACCAGAAGAGGCTGACTCTGCTGACCTGCTCCATTTTGAGCACTCCTTTTTCAAACTGTGTTTTGGGTTTCTCTCCCTGTTTCTTTCTCCCCTCCTGTCGTGGTTTGTTTGGATACTATGTCCCCCACACCTCAGCCCCTAAGTACTGATTTCTAAGAGTGCTGGAAAATCCTGCTGTTCCCCAACAGCAAGGCTAGGTTTGCCCCTGGTGCGACATTTGGTGTATGCCATGCGTTCTAAGTAATGGATTCTGATCTTCCTGAGAAAGTAATTTTGTCTGGAGCACTCTCAAGTGGAGCTGGAGAGGTCCATGCATTAGATGTAGACGGGCTGGTCTGTGGTGGCGCAGCTGGTTTGTTGCTGGTAAATGTGGGCAACCAAAATGATCAAGAGGCTGGAGGAAAGGTTATACTGGCTGGGATGGTTTAGTTCAGGAAAAGGGCACGTTAAGTGGCCGTGTCAGTCTTCCGCACTTGGCCACACCTTTGTTTCAAATTTAAGTGAGCTGGGTTCGAGGCTGATGCTTGCCTCCTTCCCCATTGAAGGAGTGCATCACTTTCCAACCCTGAAAGTAGTTTCAGTCACAAATGGATGGCGAAGGCCCCAGGACCTAGTGGTCCATGGTGGTGCCATTCTGGGTTCTCGCAGGTAGCCAGCTGGAAGTAACTGATTGCAGGAATGCTGCCCTCATGCGGTTTCTTTCTTTGGAACAGATACCAGGAAAATGATGTTAGCTGTCTTCTACTGCAGAGCTGTTCTCCCGCCCTCCCCCAGGACAATGCTCTGTTGAATGGGCCAGTTGTCATTTAGCTTCATCCCACACTTGACATGTTCTTTCTGCTGACGCTTACCAAGCAGAAGAAAAGGGCGTAGGCTTTAATGTAAATTACTTGTATTGTCTTGAGCAGGAGCTGCTGCCATACTAAGTTAAATGTGTACATATCAAGAGTGGCCAGCAAGCTTTGGAATGGACAGAAATGGTGTTATTAATATAGCTGCTCACAGGAGACCAAAGGCTTAGCTAGCTCAGTGTTCAGTTCACACAGCAGTTGGAAGTTCATAAGCAGTGCATCAGTGCAACAGCCTTGTTCCATGTGCTGTGTCACTGATATGTGGAGGTGTCCTGTATTCTACCTCTGATAGAAAGGTAATATGCAACCAGCATCACTAGTGGCCATTGACAGCCTTATCCTCTGTGAGCTTGCCTAATCCACTTTCAAAGCTGTCCAAGCTGGTGCCCATCACTGTGTCTTGTGAAAACACTTTCCACAATTTATTTGTGAGCTGTGCAGAAGACCATTTCCTTGTACTGGTCATGCATCTCCCATTGTGCAGTTTCACTGGGACAAAATGCTCTTTATTCTACTTTCTGTGCTTATCCTCTGAGAATGGGATACAAAGCATTGGGGTATTGGGGGGCAGGTATTACTAAGAGGGTTTGTCACAAAGCTTGGTCTGCTTTTCCAGAAACGGCTCTTAGAAAGAAGGAATGGCTTGTATGACTGGGCTGGATTTGCCAGAGGCCTTTATTAAGTTACCTTTCTGATTACCTTAGGAGGGAGGAGCCATGCTTCCTCAGCCATTGTGCCTGAAGCCACCCACTCCCAGCTAACCCTTCTATTAATGCCGATCTGTTGATACCGGGATCTGCTGTAATCTTCATAGTGAGCAGCTAGAGAAAAGTGGATCACTTCCATGGATTCCTCTTGATTTGAGGGCTGCTTTGCTACATCATGTTCAACAACTGGAGGAGTTGGGAATTACCCTGTGTGCAAAGATGCTTGTAGAAATGCAGTCTCTGGCCAGCATCATCCTAATCACCCTCTCATGTCCTGTTTTCTCTTTCCAGAATGGCTGCAGTCTGTCCAAGCAATGATGATCCTTTCCATCATCTTCAGCGTGTTGTCCCTGTTTCTGTTCTTCTGCCAGCTCTTCACTCTCACTAAGGGTGGACGGTTCTACCTTACTGGCATTTTCCAGATCCTTGCTGGTAAGTAGAGGGGCAGGGGAACTGTGTGCCCTGAAATGCTGCAAACGGAACTATCCCAAGGTTGAGCAACAGATAATGATGAAAACAGGCCCAGTCCAAAAATAGCAAAGAGCCTGCTGCTTTGATGGGGTGGGGTCAAGATGGAGTCCTTTTACCAGCTTCTTCAAAGGCCCAGAGAAGCATGATCTTATGTTTGTCCACTCAGAAGTAAGCCCCACTTCATTCAGTGAGGCTGACTTCCTGGTATGTCTATGTAGGGTTTCAGTGGCCATAGATCATTCACAGTCACCAGCCACCTTGGAAAGATATGCTTGAGGAATGTTGATTATGGTGCACCATCTAATGTTCTCCTCTGTTCTGACAGCCCATCTCCTGTGTATCACTTTTAGATTTCATATATTGTGGGGAGAAACCATTTTTCTTGCATTCTTCTGTGACAGCACAAAACCTAAAGAGAACTGTCACACGCTTCTGAAAAGTCGTTGTGTCAGTAGCATTGTTGGGCCCACCAGCATAACTGCTGGTGAACACCCCACACCCCAGTCCCTAAAGAGAGGAGAGTCTCTGTAAGAGCCTCTAGAGTCACCTGGACCTGGTTTTCTCGACGGGGCAGGAAGAGGGGGACCTGAGGGTGAGAAATTTATGCCTGACTCCCCTGTCATGGTCAGACCACTTCCTCGTGAGGTTTGAGCTCGAGAGCGGCCTCTCCCTCTGTAAGGGTGCGGACCCGATTGTGCTGGTCCGCCCCCGGAGCCGGATGGATCTGGATGGATTCCTGAAGGCCCTGGGGGAATTCCCGGTTGATAAGGCTGGTGCTCCTGTCCATGCCTTGGTCGAACTGTGGAATGGGGAGATGACCAGGGCTATTGACATGATCGCTCCTAAGTGTCCTCTCCCGCCTGGCAGAGCCCATTCATCCCCCTGGTATACATCTGAGCTATGGGTGAGGAAGCGAGTTGGGAGACATCTAGAGCGTAGGTGGAGGAAATCATGGGATGAATCTGACCGAACACACTTAAGAGCCCATTATCGGGCCTATGCTGTGGCGGTGAGGGCAGTGAAGAAGAAATTCTTCTCCGCGTCCATTGCCTCCTCACAATGCCATCCAGCGGAGCTTTTTCGGGTGGTACAAGGGCTAGTTCACCCAGGCTCTAAGAGAGACCTGGTACCACCCTCGATGGCCCGCTGTGACGACTTTGCCAAGCATTTTAGGGAGAAAATCGCTCAGATTCGTCACAAGCTGGACTCCACTAGTGACTCAGAGCCTTAAGGGGAGGAGCCAATGTTGCCGTCTGGTCCACAATTGATGGAAGAATTTCAGTTGCTGCGGCCTGACAATGTGGACAAAGTGCTTGGACAAGTATGTCCTACCACCTGCTTACTGGACCCTTGCCCATCTTGGCTACTCAAGACAGCCAAGGACGGGATAGGGACCTGGATCCTGGAGGTTGTCAACGCCTCTCTAAGGGATGGCTGGGTACCTGCCCCTTTAAAGGAGGCAGTAGTCTGGCCTGTCCTAAAGAAGGCTTCCCTGGATCCAGAGATGGCCACCAATTATAGACCAGTGGCCAACATCCTGTTTCTGGGCAAGGTGTTAGAGCGGGTGGTGGCGGGACAACTCCAAGCATTCTTGGAGGAAACTGATTATCTGGACCCATTTCAGTTCGGCTTCAGACCCAGGTATGGTGCTGAATCTGCCTTGGTCGCCCTGTACGATGACCTGTGCAGGGAGAAGGACAGGGGGAGTGCGTCCCTGTTGGTTCTCCTGGACCTCTCAGTGGCTTTCAATACCATCGACTATGTTATCCTTCTGGATAGGCTAGCGGGATTGGGAGTTGGGGGCACTGCTTTGCAGTGGTTCCGCTCCTATCTCAATGGCTGATTCCAGAAGGTGGTGCTGGGGGACTGTGGCTCTGCGCCATGGCAGCTATGCCATGGAGTTCCGCAGGGTTCCATCTTGTCCCCCTTGCTATTCAACATCTACATGAAACCACTGGGAGAGGTCATCAGGAGGTGTGGGTTACAGAATCATCAGTATGTTGATGATACCCAGCTCTACCTCTCGTTCTCAACCAATCCAGATGAGGAGGTGGCTGTGCTGAACTGGTGCCTGGCCGAGGTAATGTGCTGGATGAGGGCCAATAAACTGAAGCTCAATCCAGACAAGATGGAGGTCCTGTTGGTAGGTGGATCGGGCTTTGGGATGGGGGACTTTGACCTTGTCCTGAATGGGGTTGCACTCCCTCTTAAGGACAGGGTTCGCAGCTTGGGAGTGCTCCTCGATCCTGAGCTGTCTCTAGAAGCTCAGGTGACGGCGGTGGCGAGGAGTGCCTTCCTTCAGCTTTGGCTGATCCATCAGCTGCGTCCCTATCTGGAGAACGACTGCCTGGCAACAGTGACACTCACATTGGTCACTTCCCGATTAGACTTCTGCAACGCGTCTATGTGGGACTGCCCTTGAAGATGGTCCAGATACTTCAATTGGTGCAAAATAGAGCTGCCAGGCTGCTGACGGGGACTGGGCATTGTTCTCATATAACCCCAGTTCTCTGTCAGCTCCACTGGCTCCCCATTGAAGTCCAGGCCCAATTCAAGGTGCTGGTTATCACCTACAAAGCCCTGAACTGCTTAGGTCCTGGTTACCTAAAGGAGCGCCTGCGTCCATAAATGCCCGCCCGCCCCTTGAGATCTGTGGGAGAGGCCCTTCTCCAGGAGCCCTCCGTGAAGGAAATTAGGAGGGTGAGTACTCGGAGGAGGGCTTTCTCTGCGGTGGCACCCCGCCTATGGAATGTGCTCCCCAGAGAGGTCCGCCTGGCGCCGTCATTATTTGTTTTTCGGCGCCAGACCAAGACCTTTTTATTTAAATGCTATTTTAACTGTTAATGCTTTATTTGTTGGTTTTAAATTTGCCAGGCTGTGTCCACTATTTTATCTTATGTATTTTATTTATTTGATGAATTTTTTTGTATTTTATGCGGAATTTTAATGATTGTAAGCCTCCCCGAGGCTTATGTGATCGGGGTGGCATATAAGCTGCCTAAATAAATAAATAAATAAATAAATAAATAAATAAAAGAGTGAGGGCCATCTTGGCTTATGCTCAACTCAATTTACATTCTGGCAAAAAAAAAAGGGGGGGGGGGCTCACATCTTAAAAGTCCAAGCTACATTTCCTCCTAGCATTCCTGGGGCTTTGTGGATGCTACTCCATACCTCGCATATAGTCACTGGAATTACCGATGATTCAGGGGGTGCCCTGTAGCCTGCATAAAGATGGCTTCTGTTCATCTTTTCCACTTAAATATGCCTGGCAGCATCCATGGGAGCAAATGGAATCCTTGTTCCTTCTGGGCAGAGATTTTTGAAATCCAGAAGAGCACTTTCCAAGTGATCAGTCATTTTCCTTGGAGAAGCTCTTGCCCCCAAAGCAACCTTCTGTCCAGTGACTCAGCCTGGCATTGCCTAAGAGGAGCTGCATGTGGAAGGCTTTTTTTTTTTTTTTGGCTGAATAACTAGCAGTGTGAAATGAGCAGGAAGTTGAGTGCTCAGTGTGAGGGTCTCCTAGCAGGAAGAAAATGCAATTAGAGCTGAATGTAGTTTAGTTGTCTTGACAGTACATGTTGTTTGTGTATTATTATACCTTTGGGTAGGTCTGGATAAGATTAGGGATCCAGCATAAGAAGAGTGCGATATATACTTCCAAATGTTGGACATTTATTGATGTATGCTTTGTAAAATTCCATGACATCCACACAAAACCATGGTTTATAGTCACAGCACACACTGTATCATTCAACAACGGGGGTGACATGGAGGGAACGAACAGCGCCAGGGTCAGGGTGGTTAGATGCAGCCAGTCTGCGAATGCTAGGCTAGAATCAAGTTGGGTCCACCTGAAGAGAAGTGACCTGGAAATATTCCATAATTGACTTGTGGAAATCCATGTGGGAAAGCATGACAAAAGCATGGTGGAAACACAGATATCCGTCTCTTATAACATTGCAGTTGGTGAAACAGAATATTGAAACACACACAGAGGGAGGAAGCCTCCTGGCACTTCCCTTTGATGTCTAAATTCTTGCTGAACCATCCCCCTGCCCCTGAATGATATGCATCTCTGGGGTAATTTTCTGGTTGCTTCCATGCATGCATACCTGGAATGTGAGAAGATAACAGGGGCATTGGAAGGGGCAAACTGCTAGAGCTGAGGTGACTTAGTTATTCCATTCAAGCTGGAACAGAGCAAGGAATGTGCCCTTTAGGACAGGACTCCAGTTCTGCAGTGTCCTCCCCCAGCTAGAAATGCACATAAGAGTTGAGTTGCAACTTCAGTTTGGCCTCATAGTTGAAGCTTGGGTTTGTTTTGCTGCTGCAGTTGGTGTATTCCTGTGGGAACTGCAGCAGATAACTCTCCCGCTGAGAATTAGCTTTCCCACCCTGCCCTGTGAAGCATTTTCTCTTCTCCCCATTCCCCCCCTCCACCCGCTTCCTGTGTGGAGGCCTACTAAATGCTTTCTGCAATTTCGAGCAGAAATAAGATCGCCACAGTCTCTTCCCTTCTGCCCAGCTCTTTATACACACAAGCCAGGCTCTCTTGTCTAATGCCTGTAGGTGATTTGTGGTATGACCACCACACTTTTTCTCCATCCCACCCAGATGGAGAGACAATAGGTTTTGCACTCAGCCCGTGGGCCGTTGCTGCGGGTGCCCTCTCCATGGCCCAGAGGCTGGGAGCTTGTGAATTCAACGAATTCCCACTCCTGCACTTTCGGCGAACAAAGGGGGCAGTGTGGAGGGAAAGAGCAGCTCAAATATCACTGTGGTTAGGTGTAGGTGGTCCTGAGGCACACTGCAGGGTTTGGGAACAGAGACAACTCTGGTGGCACATTGAGCAGGTTGTGGAATGGCTGTGATCAACGAAAAGGCCTTGTTCTGGGCAGGGAATAGAAGAGCCATTGTGCACCGCTGGCGGGGCTGGTGCTGGGCCTTCGAGGGAGCTGGTATTGCTGATCTAGCAATGCAAAGAGGCCGAACGTGGGGGCGTGGCTGCAGAGAGCCCTGGCTTGGCCTGTGCGGGCTGTGATCCACAGGGTCTGGGGCACTGGGGGCGGCGGAATGGAGAAAGGAGAAGACGCACCTTGCTTTAATTTTTCACTCAAGGCAGGCTTGATCATTATGTTAAGCACACACATTTCAGAGCATGGCTCTGGCCTAATTGGAGTCCCCACTGAAATGTCATTATTGGAGTGTGCGCCCATGTGAGAGTAGGGCACTTATCCAGCTTCTTCGCTTGGGCATGGGAAACTCCTTCCAGTTCAACCAAGAAATTGGTGCCCCTTTCTTTAGTGGCAAGGAACTTTTCAAGTGAGTTACCAGCTCAGTGTGTTATCTGTACACAGGGGGAACAGAACCAGTGTTGCCCATACCAGTAGTGGGCAGACAGTAGATCACCGGACATCTCAGACTTCAATTCCCAGCATTCCTGACCATTGGCCAAGCTGGCAGGGTCTTCTGGGAGCTGGATTGTAAAACCTCTGGCGATCTACCTTCTAGCAATTCTAAGCTGTGAGGGTGGGATAGAGGGCTAGCCCTGAAGAATATATTGCCTTCTCCTCAGTTGACTTTCCTGAACTTTTCACCAGATCCTTGCCTTGCAAAATGCAAGCATGCAAGGGCTGTTGATGTCCTAAACATGGTTGGTAAGTTTCCAGAAAGTCTTGACAGAAGAACTGACTGGGAGTGAGGTATGGAAGGAATGTTGGTAACATTCTTCCCTCAGCTGAATCTTGCTCCTCTGTCACGGATTTCCTTGCTTACGCTCTCTGTCTCCTCCACTTCCCAGGCCTATGCGTGATGAGTGGTGCTGCCATCTTCACTGTGAGACATACAGACTGGCATCCCTCCACAGACAACACCTCCTTTGGCTTCACGTACATCCTGGCCTGGGTGGCCTTCCCACTGGCGATCATCAGTGGGGTGATCTACATCATCTTGAGGAAGCGCGAATGAAGTGTCGCGTGAGGCCGCTGAGACAAGAGCACTTGGGACAAGGGGCGCTGATGAGATAGAAAGTAGGAAAACATGGAAGTTAAATAAAAAACAAAACAAACTACACAACACACACATATACACACCCCAACAAGGCAAGAGAGGAAAAAGAAACCAAACTGAAAGAAGGGTTACTGTGTTCATTGAAGATGTATATAGTATCTATGGTTTAAAAAACCTATTTATAACACTTTTTACATATATGTACATAGTACTGTTTGCTTTTGTTTGTTGACCTGCCGCCATGTTTAAAGCCTAAAGAAAGTGCCTAAGAACTCTTTAACTCCTAACACTATAATTAGAGTGCCGTTTTTCCTCCTCCTGCTGTGGAAAGGAATGGATCCCTCCTCCAGAGCTTTCCACTTCCAGTCCCAAGCCAAATAGAGACCGTGACGGGGCCTTCTGAAGGGATGTGGTGTGCCACCACTGCACTGATACTGTCGGAGGCCCTGACATGCCCCTGTTAGCCAAATGACGGATGCAAATGCCATAGAGAAGGGAGAAGGATGCCTATCAAAATGTAGATGATGTGTAAGATAAGGATGGGGGCACCCGGCTTCCATCTCCCTTGGGATGGTGGAGCATATGACGTATGACCTCTGCCTCCTGAAGCCGAAGGTGTAATGTGTTGCCACCACCACGTAGAGTCCTCCTGTATGGTGGCCTGAATTTCTTGAAGGAAAGGTAGGTTGCAAATGCCACCACCCATCAATAATAGGTCTCTGTCAGAAAGGGGTACCTCCAGCTACTGTTTTGATAGGTTCGATCATGTCAGTGTTTCCAGGTTTTAAAATGCCCCAGACCAACACTGCAGCCAGGTTAGAAGGCAGAGAAGTGGGACAAGAAACAAAAAATAAAGCTAGCCATTTGGTCATCTTTCTGCTGTGGGTGGGAGAGGGCCAAAAATGACTTTTGGGGAAAAAATGTTACAAAAATACTTTTCTTGAGAATAAGCTAATATGCAGAAAAGAAATGAAACCTAAGCTCTAGATCCTCCCCTGCCCTGCATCCCTTTCCCCGACCCCTTTATAAAATCGAATACCAAAAATCTGTGAAATGGTGCTATCTATTTACCATTCCTTATATTGCTAAGCCATTTAACCTTTACTCACTGGAAAGTCAGATAACGATTTTGAGATAAAACAAGGATTAGGAATGATAAATAATTCTGTGTAATATATATATATGTATACAACCTATAACTGCTTTTGTACTTAGGAACGTTGCTACTATTATTTTTTTAATAAAGCATTTATAACCAAGGTATTCTTCCCCCTCGTGGGCAGGAGGGAAGCAAGCATAGGATTTCCCCAGCTCCTCTGTAACCCTTTTCTGTGCTTCCCAAAGTGTGTCTGGCAATGAACTGTACTGGCAGCTGTGTAAGCGCTGCCTTCTGATGCTAAGACTCCAGACATTATTATACGATTTCGCTTTGCTTTGCTGATTTTGTACCAACTGTGTGGACTAAGAAGCAACAAAATAAAAGTCAGAGTAACTCAAACGCTTTGGCCTTCCAGTGTACTCTTTCTGCAGCTATTGTGGGCAGAGCAGTCGCAGGGGAGCTGGGGGGGGGGGGCGGTCCTTCCACCACGTGCCTTCAGCAGCTGCCGGCAGTGATTTTATTTATTTATTTATTTATTTATTATTTTTCGATTTATATCCTGCCTTTTTCCTACAAAGGGCTCAAGGCAGCTTACATCTCCTCTAACATCTTAATCCCACAACAACAACCCTGTGAGGTAGGTTGGGCTGAGAGTCTGTGACTGGCCCAAAGTCACCCATTTGGCTCCATGGCTGAGCGGGGACTAGAACCCAGGTCACCTGAGTCCCAGTCCCATGCTCTTAACCACTACACCACACTGGCTCTCTTGTAGGAAAGTCTCTTGTAGGAAAGTCTCCCTTCAGCACTTCTTGCTTCAAGTGACAGCCTTCACTGTAGAGGCAAGGGTGGCTGCTGGCTTCGGCGTCTGCTGGAGCTGGGCCTTCGTGGGCAGTTGGATATGAAATGGTAGATGGAAGGAGGTGTGTTCCTGGAAGGCAGCACCACTTGGTAGCTGGAAGATGGAATTGCTCTATCTGCTGCCTCAGGTTCAGTTCAGGACCACTAAAAAGACTGGTGTGGAAAGCATGTCAGCCCACCCCAACTTTTCTTTCAGGCCTGCTATGGCACCTGGCAACAGGCAGGCCTTCCCATCCAGCCACCCCAGAGAGCTGCGTAGGCCTGGGAGGCCTTCAGGAACAAGCCCCACCACAAGTGTCAAAATAAGGTTTAGCTGCCAGTCCAATCAGAGCTGTTGGGCCTCAGAAGGGAGGGCATCATCTTATCCTGTATTTTAAGAAGTCCGGTGTCCATGGCTTACACCAGCCCTGACAGCTTCATCTGCCCACCCCCACTACACACACGCTCCCTCAGCCTTATGCTTCACACTCCCAGAGGTGGGCCAGCGTTAACCACAATGCTCCTGCTAAGGAAATGTGCATTGAACTTGACAAAGGCACTGCCACACTTCTTCCTAAGAGAGTCACTTGCTTCGGCACCTGGCACTTTGGACCCCGTTCCAAGCTCACAGCCAAGCTCATTTTCTGAAGGTGGGGAAAAAGTTAGGGGATTTTTATCTTGGGGGTAGGCATGGTATCCACTTCTTCCTCCCTTTCTTGAATTGGTAGCCTGAGAACCTGCTCGAAAAGCTCTTAATTCTGCTTTCTTACTAAGGGTGGGCAAAAACATTTCCACATGTATTTAGTTAAAGCTGCTCAGGTATAGGCTCCAACCTTTAGCTGGTCACTTGCACTTGAGTTGGGGGGGGGGGTGGACTGCTCATTCAGCATTAATGAAATGATCGCACTGGGAGCTGTAAAGAGGAGTTAATCCTCAGCAGACTCTGAGGCTGTATCCGTTATCTTGACAAACCTTTGCATAGGCAACAAGAACAGCCTAATGTTGTTAGATCATTGTAGAAGATTTTTGTGTGCAACTTCTGTTTTTCTTCACTGGCTGTTAACTCTTCAAAGCCTCTGTGGGAGAACTCTTTCAAAGCCAAATAGTTCCCTTTAGGATCAGTCTGATTAGAATGCCCCAGATTTCTGTGATGGGGGGTGTCTGAAAGGCTTCCCATACAACAGACTGCCTGGGACTCATGCATGATTGTCCTTACACCCCCCCCCCCCCCGCTGCCTTTGGTTAGAAGCCAGAGAGATCCCAGCAAACAAATGGACTCTCTAGCACCAGGTAGGCCTTGCCTAATCCTACAAGGTACTGTTGTTCCTAAGCAAAAATGCCTACTCAGAATCTCTTAATACAAATCAGTACTCTCTTAAATATTGAGACATTCTGAGTACCCAGCCATGTTTTAAATGTATCAAGTAGATTAGACTAGCTGGACCTCAGGGATTCCAGGGGCAGGGGGCTTTTGTTGTAAATTTTGGACCACACAAGCCTCTTCAGTTTCTCTCTCCAAACATATGTACACTTTTCAAATGACCATTGCATGTAGAGTTAGTTCCCATAAATCAGATGCAAGATTATGGCAGAAAACCCCACCCTAAGCTACAGATGCTCACTAGACTGTGGAGTGGGTTGAGGACGGTGCTTTTTATGGGGCTTCCATTAGTGACAGCACCCATGCTGTCTGTACTTGCAAATGGTGGTGAGGCTCCCTGTTGTTTTCTAGTGGGGGATCTGGGGAGCCTGGACTGAATCCCAGCTGGGCAGAGGGTGCTCTTTAGGCTGAGCAGCTAATCTAATGGTACACATTAGGACCCATGGGAGATCTATACCTCATTTGGAGATCTTTTGCTGGAAGTCTCAAAGTGTACCTGATCCCAGAAAGTCTTTTTTTTTAATTAATCATGACAGATCTAAGGACTTTCCATTGAATATATTATACTCCAGTTCTTCCTTTTCAAAAGGTGTTGACACTGAGATCTAAATTAGATCCATTTAACCACAGCTTTCCTGGGTGTGCTCCTTTGAGATTCAGGGGCCAGCTCATTCAAGTTGCTTTTTGTTTCTGCACAAAGTCAAACCGTCCCTTGTCCTTTCCATCCAAATAAATTTGAGGGACTAAACTATTCAATGGCCCCAAGACTGTTACTTTAAGAACAGAGGTAAGGCTATTTCCAGTTGGCTCAAGCTTTGCAAAGCCAGGAAATTGGAAGCCAAGATGCGTCCTGTGACCAATGAAGTTGTTGCATTATATCACAAATAGTGCTTGCTTCTGCAGCTCACCCTTCCTGGACTTGTAGGTCTTTTTGACCCAAACCACATGGGGAGGATGGAATGCCAGGATTGATGTCCCATGTTGTCTTAGGCCTGTATTAGTTGATCAAGCATCTGAACTTTATTGCTCGAAAAAGCCTGCCTGGATTGCTTGTAAACAACTCCAAGTGCCACCATGGCATCCTCTCTCCAGATCACTGCTGCCCTACCCTAAGAACCTCTCTGCAGCCTCTCTCTGAACCAAAGAGCAGGCAGGTGCTCTGGAGACCTGCACAAGCAGAACGTGTGGCTCCTGAGTGGATTTTCAGAGAGGCAGCAATAGCCACGTGTGCTGCTTTGAGGGACTTCTTCCTCAGAACCCGATATTATGGGGTTAGGGTTAGGAGAGCTGGTGCAGGTGATCTCCAGAGGTTGGGGCACCCCTGTGTTAGCTCTGGAGAAACACTGCCTACTCATTGGCTGGCTTTTTCTCTGTGAATTTCCACAGAGAAAGAGCTTAGCCCATATCCATGACACATTTTGCTGGAGTTCCTGAATACTTGACTGGTTTACAGATGCATGGGTGCATTAAAATGCGTTTGAGATTTCTAAACAGAAGAATATTTACACTTGAGCAAACGGGAATTCACACTTGGTGGTAAATGTCCGGAAATAGTTCTAGTTGCGTTATTGAAGAGGCTGAGAAAGCTAGGAAAAACCTGCTCTCTTGTGGTGAAACCTAGTATTACGCCTTGCTGTTCCGGTTTGGAGAAGAACATACCTCCCCCTCCCTCTTGCCACCTCCAAACAGCTGTTTCTAAAAGAGCGATTTCTTAGGAGTCATGACGACACTACAAAATTGTCTGAGCTTTCCAGACTTACTAATTACTACAGATGTTAGACGGGAAGGTGGCTCCCTAAAGTTGTTCAACTTTAATGAACGCAAGTCTAAAATTGTCCATTACTTTGTGGTCAGGCTGATCTATAACAAATCTTTCAGAGAGTAAAGCCTTGGCCACTCCCATCCAAAACTGGTCAGGGAAAACTTCCTTTTTTGTTTGTTTGGAGGACCAAAGCCAGATGCTTATATTGGAACTTGTATTGTGTACTGCATGCTAGCCTATGTATGTGTAGTTTTCTTAAACAGCAATGTGTGGTGCTTAGAAAGTGGTATCTTGAAGGGTTTGCTCCTCTTCTCTTAGGAAACAGAGCAATAGAATGGGAGAGCTCTACTGATCGCTACAACGAGGAGAAGTAACCTCTGCCGCCTACAGCATCGTAAGCATCCGTGATACATTGCCTACAGGAAGTGAGGAGAAATGAACCATGCCAGTGTTGTGTGCCGTACCCCCATTTGACTAGCAGAGGAGCCCTGGCATGTGGAGCAGGTTGCCTTAGCCGGCTGCTAAATCAAAGTCACAGTATTCCAGTGAGGATGCAAAGTCCACCAGCGTTTTGTGGCATTGCACTGCCATGATGGCAGTGAGGACCATGCGGACGGAGGGCCGCATTCTGAGGATGAGGGAGATGAGTGCATAGAGGACCCTGCAGCCCAGGCCTGACACTGATACCTCTGAAACGCAAGGAGTCTCTCTCCACTCGGCCCTTGTCTGTGAGGGCTAAGTTACAGTGAAATTGCTTCGCAAAAGGTCTGGGCAGTGGAAATTCACTGAAGGCATACACAGAGAAGAAATATACTGAAGAAGAATGCACAACTACTGGTAAAGATGCCTTAATGTAAATGCAATTAGTTTAACAATGCCTTCCAGCACTTTAAACCCTTGTGCAAATGATGTTAAGAGCAAATGTGATTTTCTTCCACTTAGTGCCTAGATGTAATTGTAAGTCTCTCTCTCTCTCTCTCTCTCTCTCTCTCTCTCTCTCTCTGTTAATTATTTCTTGACTTGGCCATGTGGTGGCAAGATTTAGCTGTGTGTAGCCACAAGGGCTCAGACTTGAAAGCAATTCAGTTGTGAATTACTTTTTGATTCAGAAGTTTTCCCAGTGGCTGTAAATTTAGTAAGAGCAGTAAGGGCTTTGTAGCCAAGAGGGGGTGCTCTTGACCACAGAAAGAAAACATGGAAGTGACAAAGACCCAGTAATTTGGAACGCATCGCTTTAAGGCTAGTTCCAAGCTTTCAAAAAACAAAGCAAAATCAAAATGCTCCCAACAATTTTCTAGTCTGCTTCACTCACTCACAGCCCCTGCCTCAAAAAGGCTGCCTCGTGCATAGCGGAACCATTCATCCCGTGGCTGGAATGTCCCATACTGACTGGCCATCGCTCTGCAGCCTTTCAGGCAG